TGTAAGTTTATATCAGTCTTTGGCTGTTAGACTGTTCCACGGGAGGTAATGTAACATTTTCTGAATTATAAAGGACATGAAAATGTATGATCTTCATAGCTGGATTTGTAACCTGTCTCTTCTTCTTTAAGGCAGGTCTTCTGATCCCTCTACAAATGTTAACGGATACCTAACAAAAAGGAACAAAACCCAAATCTTAATCTCCTGTATGTAGTATAGGGGCAGCTATTGAGAGCACTGAGGCTCGATGTTTAGAACTAAAGGAGTTTTCATCTGAACGGGAATGAAATAAAAGGATGGATTTATAAAGGCCAGAAAGCAATACTAAGATCAACATTTTGAAATTAAGTTGTGGATCTGGGAGGCAGTTTTAAAGTCTGTTCCCATGGCTGAGCAAAATTCCTACAGCATGGGTGTCATGCTATAGAGCTGGAGCATATTTGCTGGGACTGTGGATGGCCAGAAGTCTTGCTGTTCAGTGAGATGACTGTTTTTTCTCAGCTTGACAAATGACATGCAGCCCTGACAGAATACTTCTTTGCTGGCCATCACCCCTACGGACACTGGCCAGAACAGCAGCAGCAGGAACATACCCTCCAACTCTGATTTAATCACATAGAGCCCAGGAGACTAGTGAATAGAGCTGTTAACTCTCTGTTTGGTTTGCTTTTCCCATCTGTGTTTTATTAAACTGAGAGCAAGATTTATTCACTTTTTTAACATCAGGAGCTGTTGGTGTCCAAGATGCTGGTTGATGTTAAGGTATACATACACAGTTTAACCTGGCTGAGGGCCAAAGGGGCCTATGATTTCCAGCCTAGACAATTTATTTGCAAAGGGACACAAAATCCCTCTACTCTCAGACATTTCTGAAAGGATGAGCACAACAACTTTCCGCTCTCCCAGGAACACAATACATAAAGAACACAGTAAAACAGTAGGCTCTCCAGGATAAGCCAGGCTTTCCAGGCATGCAGGCAAACACTTCAGTTTTACTTTACTCCTGACAGCCCCTACATAGTCACAACTAGCGATTTTCTAATTTCCACTCCAGGAATCTTAAATAGATTGGAGATACCAGCTCAGTGTATAAATATTTCTTCTAAAAGCCAAGAATCCTGAATGGCTCAGCTGGGGAACTGCACTTTATGGGAAATGAAATTATGTGCCAGGCTCTCCACTGTAAGGTGGGATAGCTGAAGCCCAGACACTTGCATGCCTAATGAGCTACTGCAAGGATAACACTTGCTTTTAAAGGAGAAGAAAAGGAACCAAAAGATGGGATTTTGAATTGCATTAAAAAGATAAACTTTCCTCAAGCAATAGGGTTAACTCAAGACAGAAAGATCAAGTGTGCATTTTTCTGAACTGTATAAAGAGGTTTCTTTAAATACAGAAGTTTCAAGCAATAATTGATAAAGCTCTCAAAATACAGCTTCAGTGCAAACACCCTCCAAAACTCTTGACACTTTTCCAGAACTTCTGGGCATTTTCTTCTTAACAGCAAGCTCCTTTCCAAAACGTACCACTCTCCCCCTCATCTCTTAAACATCACTCATCAAAACTAACATGGTGATATCCACTTTCTCTGTTGCCTTGCTACTATCCCTGCAAGCACACTGTGGATCATCAGGTCTGCCAGATTTGTTGTAATCTACAAAACCTCTGCATTCTTGTCTTTCCAGGCAAATGCCTTCATAACTTCATATGAGTATCATATTGACTGTAGCACCTACACAGAGCATCATCATATTACAATGATTCTTGTAATACTAAGGCTCATGGTATCCCCATATGGCAATAGAAAGTATTCTGAATACAAGACACAACTGTTATTACAGTAGAGCTTAGAAAATAAACTGTATCTCTCAAAGCTTATTCAAAGTCCACCATTGGTTTGCTTAAAACAGTGTTTCTATCACTCACATATCCATCTTCCCCAGAAACTTTAATACAGGCTGCAGAATCTGGTTCCATGTGTGACAGTTCCTGTTCTGAACTGACTTTCAATGTTGACAAAAAAGCAATAGCTTTTGTTACTGTTTCATTCATGAATGGTCTTTTTTCCATCCTCTTTCACATTTTTATCATCTGTGAGATGACAGTAGGAGCTGTGCATGAGCCAGTACAAATTAAGCAGCATTCATGTGCTTTTATAACTTTTAAGAATACTGGCAGAAAATGATGGTATCTGCAAGTTTCAGTTTTCCTGGTTTCTAATGGAAACAGAATTTGAATTGTATGCAGTGTTAACTCAAAGTGAGGAACTTGGTCACTGTACTGAGTTGTATCCTTCAGACCCAATGCTGTTTATGCATTGTATTCAAGACATTAAAAACAGACTGTATGAGCATGATTCCGATAGCAGGCAGCAGACCCTAGGAGAGAAACCTAACCCCTGAGCACTGTGTTAAAAACTGCATAACTTACACTTCTGAATGGAAGCCTATGTGTCTGGATTGTTCAGCACTGAACTAAATTCTCCACTGTGTTAGCTATGCCTAAAGCTACAGTTCTCTCAAATCCCCATTTCCCTTTCGGGGAACACAGGCACAAGGCCCTCTATTATAGCAATATTTCAAGAAACTTGATTTATACATGAGAAAGGTGTCAAGGTGACCCATCCCACTTAGAAAGGTATCTTGTCACGCACAGTGGCACACTTTGTTGATGCCTAAGAACTTTCAGTGGTGAGAATACAGGACTTCCCAGGTCTCAAAGGTGAACGGAATCACTGTTTGATGTAGGTACCTTATATTCCTCTAGAGGGATAGGTGCCAAAGTTATTTGTTGGTGGCTTTTTTTTTTTTTTTTTTAAATTCTCAAGTTTTTGTTTGGTTCTGCTAAGAGATGTAAAGTCCCTGTCATGACGGCCTCAGGATCACCAGTACCTGCTAGCATTGCTTGAATGCCGTGCAAAGTTCCTCTTTCTCTTGTCAGTATGAGGACAGAAAGCAGTCCAATACTTGGCACAGGGATTTTGATCATACACAGAAAAACATACTGTTTCTCCAAAAATGCTATATAATTATTGTTATGCAAAAATGGCTTTTTTTTCCTCAAAGCCACCCCTATTTACAGAAGTTTATTTAGAAGTCGTAGAAACTCCAGAGAAGGCCTCATTCCAGAGACTGTTTCACTGGATATTTTGACAAATGCTAAAGTAGAATAAGGAAAACAAATAGAGACTTATCTGTAAAAATTCTGTTACAGAAACCTGGTTAAATAGCATCCCATCCGATTGCTTAAATTTAAAATACCTAGTACAAGATTAGTGAAAATGAATCCCTCTGAAGAAAACAACTGTCAAATTGCAGTTTGTGTAACTATTAAAATATTAGGATAGACTCAATTTGCCTTTACATGCAGTGTACTTTATTTATAAGTTTTTTGCTAATTTTGCTGCGTTCATAATGAACCAACATTTTCAAATGTCACTGCCTGTAGCTGTAATAATACCAAGTTAATTCCTTCTTCAGATTTTCAGCAATGAATACAATAGATCTAGGGTTGGGTTTTATTCTGTTTTTTACCAAATATTTTTTGCAACTACAGATGTTTAATTAAAGGCTGTTAGACAATTTAAACTTCTCAGAAGAATACAAATAAAAGCTGTTAATGAAGTAAATATCTGTTTAATTTACAAACATCAGTAGCATTACTGATATCAGTCCAAATAAGACAAAGCACACTGCATTACACATGTACATCTAACTTTTTTGTAAAAAAAATAATAAAATAAAATTGAAAACCATGTGCATTTTTACAGGGTACCCTGGGTTTTACTGAAAGAAGAACACAACCCACTATTGATTACCAATTCTACATTATAATTTAGCAGCAACGTGTTAACATGGGGAACATAGGGCAGTAAAGTAGTTTTATTATTTGGGGAAAGTCACAGTTCTTGACAGTACAGCCTTTTTTTTCTTTTTTTATAAAAAAGGTAAAATGCTCCATGGGAATATTAATTTATAAAGATCTACCTTCTAATATAATTTTCTACACGCCATCTTATTTTCTGTAAGTACTGTATATAGGGAAAATTAACTTCTCTACAATTGCCACCTAGTGTAAAGACATTTTCTGTCATACATTATGGGTTCTTGGAAGGTGTCCTGAATATCTGCTGTATGTGAAAACTGCAGATTGTCATCACTCAGATTCAGTGACACCAAGTGGTCAGATTCTAAGGAAAAGAAAAAGGGAAGGAGAAGGAGAGGAAAAACCAGATCGAAAACATTTACCCCAAGACGACATGCTACGTTAGTTCTATTGCAAAAAATCCTGATTTTTACGTCCTTTTTTTTTTAAAAAAAAACCCCAACAAAAATACTGGGACAAATATAAATTAATATATATTAAAGCATTGAAAAACAGTAAAAGGGATGGCCTAAAAGGGTTAAGTACAATGTACTTTGATACAATAAATATTTCTCAATGAAACCGAATACTGTATAGAGCTGTTTAGAACTCATAGAAACAGAAATCCATATTATTACTAATTCATCCATCAATAATCTATTTTCATCATCCCCGAAACATTTATATTACAAAAAATTAATACTGGAAAAGGGCAGATAAACACTTTATGCTTCTTTTGCTAACATGCTGACATAAAAGTATACATCATTAGGAGATTTCAGGATTATAGTATATTCTCATATCTCCCACTTCCCATCCATTAAATGGGACATCATCTTCTCAAGATGCTTAATAATTCCAAAAGATAAAATGCATTTCAAACAATTGTTATTTCTGCATAATCTGATTCTTTTCACTCATAATGCTTCCTCATCCATATGTGATTGGTACGGTCTGTCAAGACAATAAAATATACTGATATGAAAGTGAAAAAAACCAAGCCTCATGTTCTGGTCAATATTTCATCTCTGAGCTGTTAAGTTGAAAGTCACATGTGTATGGTGTCAGTGTATCTTCAGCATGTTATAAAGAAGAATCCATGTTAAAAGCAGTTAAAGTTTCTCATCTCTGTTGCATTTTTTTTTTTTTTTTTTTTTTTTCTTCAAAGCTCCTCTTGGTTATGAGAAGTCTCAGTTCAAGCACTTGAATCTTTTTTCAAATGAAGAAAAAGTCTTTATTCTCATAATAAAAATAAGTCTGTTCTGTATTTTACAATATATTTCAAATATTTCCACTATGAAGCATTAATTAGTCCGACACGGTCAATAAGTATACAACATTTTCAAAAGACAAGTGTGACAGGGACACTTAGGAAGGACAATTTGTACAGCCACACTTCACCACTTTTTCAACCTCGTCCACAAATGATGACCCGTCAGTGCATTCAAAAGAGTATTTCCGTCTCTTGCTCCTTAGTGGTCCACAGCACTGCCCGGTTGAACATCCTCCTTTACATTCTAGTCTCGATACCTTCTTGGTCGTCTGGCACGCAGCATACCCTTGCTGCTTTTGGTAGAAATCTCGGATTCGTTCCCCTCGACAAGAGATTTCTGTAGGAAACAACATTTAAGATAAGAGATACACTTTTGAGACACAGGTCAAAGAATGGTTGACACTGCTAAGGAAGGCGCTGTGTTTCTAATTGCAGTTGGGATTGATATTTTAAAGTTTGACTCAGACTGTATATTGGAAACTAGTGGTTCTACCAAACAGAATTTGATTAATGCTGAGTTTTATTTCCTATAACTCCTATTTTCAGTAAAGCTTATATTATGTATATGTAAACCATAAATACAAAGCTATTACAATGACAAGAAAATTGGAAGCTTAAATCTTTTCCTCTTTTATAAAAATACACATCTTCTGTTCCTACACTGCTTGCAGCTGGTTCTGTTTACCATGGGGAAATGTTTCAGAGAGCATGCAATTTAATTTATTAGACCTGGAGTTTAATATTATTCAAACTGTTATTTAATACAAGTTACATTCCACTAACTTCATAAATTACTGAGGTATAAAACCAGCTAAAAATGAGACATCTGTTAAAACTTCTACAACCATATTCTTCTATTCATATCTATGTGCAGTACAAAATAAATGCCATCTGGGGTAAGGGAAAGAGAGGGAGGGAGAGCTTTGATAGACAAAGGAAAAAGAAAAAGGTAGGGGGAAAAGTCATCCTGTTTTCATCCATCTCACCTGCATAATTCGCTGTGATAAATCAGTTGAAGCTGAGAGGTCAAAAGTAGAGTTTGTGATAAAACTAGGAGCAGAATCATTGGATTTGGCTTCTCAGTTGCAGAATGTAGAGAAACAATAAATACAGAAAGATACAGCAGGTAAAAGGTAATAGTTAAATATAGTAAAAATGTGTTTCTGAATAAAATTGAAAAAAGAAATGTTTTCACAGCAAAACAGTTGATGAAAAAATCCTCAAAATGTAAAGAAATTCATGGGAAAAGTTTGATTTTTCTCTCAACAAGATAAATTCTTATGGTAAAAAAAAAAAGCAACAAATGTGTGTATTGTGGGGAAAAAAAAGTTGGTAATGTTTTTGGCTGTTCATGTTTTAATAAAAACCCCTCTTTTCTAAGACCAAAATAACAAAATGATTTTTAATATTTTTTTACCTTTATCACAGCTGTCCCCCGTGTATCCGCTGCTGCATTCGCAATATGGTTTCCCAAGTCCTGAAAGCCTGCATTTGCCATGTTTACACCTGATGGATTGGCAGGGGTTAAACAGCATTTCCTCTTCATCACAGAGGACTCCCCCATGTCCCTGCAGGCATTTACAACTGTATGAAAATGCATTGATCGGCAAGCAGGTACCATGCACACATCTACAGGGGAAACAAGCCCAAGAGAATAAAAATAAATTATTCATCAAAGTTCAGGCTAAGCAACATTAACTACAAATACTTTGGACTGTACTCAGAAGAAATTGCTTTTGTTTCTAATGGACTTTTTCAGTGAGATGCAGTGAAGTGGTTTATAATTGGTATGCAGATTTACACAAAACAAGCTGCAGTACAGAACTCTGTCTCACCAGAAAACAGCCACTGTAGATGTGTTATGGAAGACATTTACAGGCCACAGTTACCAAATCCAACATTTCCTGTCTACCTAAATTTTCAGCATGCTTTTGAGCACAGCACAACCAAGCCCAAATAAAATCCACTAGAATTAAGTAGAGAAGAAGGATACTCACCTGAAATTCTGGTTATATATAATAAAAAAAAAAACCATATTGTCACTCATGAAGTATGGAGCTCCCAGCACAAAGGTCAGGCACTTCCTAACTGAAACTTTTTGGACCCAAGCAATGGCAGTTTCAAAGTTGAACACATGCTCCTCCTTCAAATATATTTATTAGTCTGCACTGCCAACTGCCAGTAGTGTGGTCATACAATGTATGAGGCAGGTCGTTACATCACTGAAAGCCAACAACACTCGTCTAGTACTCATGCAGAAACTCACACTAGAAGAGGTTGCATATTATGAAGTCTTACCCAAGTGATTAAGCTAGCTACTCTCAGTTGAACTTCGGTAAACATTTGTGGCAGGCTCAAATCTTGTTGTTAGACAAAAAAGGCTGTGAGTTAACCTGCATTTGCTAAGTTCTGATATACATCAGTATGGGAGGGAACACAGAGCTGGTATGTTCTTGAGAGCTCTCTAGAGAGAGGTGGTGTTTCCCCAAAGGAGGATATTGAATTACGTGTTCCTAGATGTAAAGTGAAGATTAGGGAAATTCATCTTCTGAAAACACCAATGACTTGCAATAAAATCACTTCCCTTTGTTCATTTGGTAGAACAGGGTCAATAACTTTCTTCCTAGAAATAATGTTCTTTTCTTTAACTGTTATCTTGAAACACAAATATTCTATCTACATACTGTTTCCTTGGGAGACCACAGTGAATATTCCTGTGTAGAGGAATGCAATCCTGATGTTCAAGGTCACAGTCACCCTCCCTAATGTTTCTCCTCTAATGCTTTGCTTGTCTGTATTGTAAGATTCCCTGAGTCCACAACCTCCTTAGTAGGTTGTGACAGCCATCTAATTAAATATATAAATAAATAAGTGCTTTAGATTAGAAGAAAATAATCCCATTAGATCAAAAATAAAATCCTTTGTTTCAATTTGAAGATGAAAAAAAATAATATAAAAATCACATTTCATAGTTAAAGAAGAGTTCTGATAAGAAAAATATCTCAGTTTGAATTTTTTTTATATAACAGTCTGTATTTCTGGAAACTTCTTCCTTTGTACTCTACTCCTTCAGTACAGTAAGACATTTGGTAAAATTGAAAAGAATGAACAATACTAATTTTGACAAACTTGCATTTACTATTTAAAACTTTTAGTTTATAAACATCAACAAGTTTCACTCATCAATGACATCTACAACTCTCCATCTGTACCCTTAATTCTGTGCAAATACTTCGGCATGGTGTAACTTGGAGGAAAAAATATGGAAGTCAGTCTCATGACAGGATATTTAAATGGAATGCACAACACACAGCCTCCATTCACATCCAGTTTGGGATAAAGCACTTCAAATATAACAAATAGCCTAAGCACCTCCAGCTTCCCTATTATTCAAGAGACTGTACTTTTGAAGCAACTGCGTCCCCTACAATATTCCAAACTGTTCCTGTGGTTGAAGTCTGATATTCCAAGTCTATTAGATTAAGCAACTCAAAATTGAAGGCTTGGACAGTATCACAGAGCAAATAGCTTTTGCTTAGTTTTCATTAAATTCAGCATTTGATCTGTTCACCATTTACAACACAACCACTTTTAGGACATCTGATCTATGAAGTTACTCAGGTGACGCTGACATCATGTCATATTCTATACAGGCTCTTTTAGGTATCAAAGCAATATGTGTCAGGATTTTTGGTAAGGTTCTGCTTGACTTAGAAGATGATTAAATCATGGCTAATGCCAACTCTCATACTTTTGCTTCCACCTGTTCTTTGAAGCCCTAAATTTCATCTTCAGACTGTACTGAAAGGAACATCACGCTAAGTGCAAACTCTTGGGCACAGTTTCATCTGATCTAATTTTAGGTACCTATGTCAGGCACTCAATTTACATGTATAATTGCCATAATCTCCCTATACAGTCATGGAGAGAAATCCAGAGGGTGATTAGACCACTAGAGATCTAATTTACTCTTTAGAAATGTGTTTATTCCTGTACTGAGTGCAGAGCAAACTTTGGTCACTGTGTTCCTAAGTCAAGAACCTAGATTTAGGTAAAATAAATCTAAGCCTTAAGCCTTTGCATGGTGTGCAGGATTCCTCAAAAGATCCCCTATGTTTTTGAAACAGAGATCACAGTGACAAGTCTGTTTCTCAAATAAAGTGCAACGTTATACTGTATTGGATGGACAAAATGCAGTTAACTCAGTAGACAGGATTTAGAGATGAATCAAGAAATGCAAGAATCAAAATCCACAGGAACTAAAGAACAACAAAACCCTCCACTCCAAATAAACAATTTTGGTTTGGTTTTCTCTCCTAAAAGCCCACAGCACTGTATACAGCCAAAACAAACCCAATACTTTCAAGGGCTAACAAAATACTGATGTTATGCTCATTTAATTCTATCTTTGATACTGCCTGTATCCGATACTTGCCAAGTCTTGTAATATACTGCAAAAAGCACTGTTTGGGTGCTGATATGTATAGTTATAAGAACATATATAGAATCTAATTTTTCAAGGGCAGTTCAAAGAAATTTTTTGGCTTTTCTTATTATAGAACTTGGTGGTTACAGTTCCATGTTATTTTTGACTCCTGAAGTAGAAAATGGATGTGATAGACATCGCATTTGTATTTTTTAACCTGCTGTGACTTCCTTTCTTTATCTTTTAAGTTACAGTGAGAAGGAAGGGTAAGAAAAAGTCCCATAAATAACAAAATGCTATAATGATATTCCTCAAAAATTCACTGCTGTAGCTTGGGGAAGAGTTCAAAACTTAATAGTACTGAAAGAGCCCATAATCAATGTAAACATTGCTAACTGCATTGTAAAGCATGCTAACTGGTGTATAAAGCTTTAAAGGGTGAGACTCTCCACACAGTATGTGAAAAGATCACTTTAACATCATTTTATATGGGAGTTGAGGATTAATCATCTTATTAGAATTTCTGAGCAAGCTCAGACCACAGGTCCTCAAAAGTAAAAAGTTATATAGGTGAGAGCACTGAAATGGCAGTGGCTGAAAGAACCAAGCAGGCTTATTTTATTCTACAAAAAGAAAAAAAAAAGTTTGCCAAATTGCAGTAAGGACAATGGTAAGGGCAAACAGAATAACGTTTTTGTTACCCATGACTAATAAATCCTGAAGAACTTTGAACTTCTGAAGTTTCTGATCTTGTACTGGGAGACCATGAGCAAAAAAATTGCATCTGTCTCTATAATAAATTTAGAAGATGAAAATGCATAGATATCAATACTCATACACACATATATACATAACTTTCGCTTTCTCTCTACACATATGTATAGACAATCTAAAATGTTCTAGTCAAAGAAAAAAAAATTAGCACACAGCGACTTACACAGAAGTATACCATAATGGTAGGAATATATTTTCCTGCTAAAACCTGGGTACTGTGAAAATATTAGATATATCTATCGAATCAAGTTTTTAAAACACATTAGGGAATAATAATAATAATAAAAAAATTATTTCCTGATTCTATACAATTATAAATAAGCCAATAGCTATTTTTTTCCATTTGTAACATCTAAATTATTTTTGTATCAAGTGTCATACCAACACTTGCATCAGTGTACCTCATTACAGAAGAAGCTCATATAGAAGTATGCAAGAGCACTTCCCAGGCTTTAGGCAGACTTGAGTGAGATGTCTGTATCTGCTCCCATAAACTGAGGACTTTTCCTCATTAAGTTTATGGAAAAAATATACTATAACCTGGATGATGTTTTGACTTCTACATGCCCAGGATATTTTGTTTCTTGCTGAAGAAAGTGTGAACTTTTATGAAAAAAATACACATAACAGGAGGCTTATATGAATGTTATAGTACTGTTCTGTGTTGAGGAAGGACATACTTATTTCCAAGACATGGGTCATTAGTTTGTTGATCACAGAGGGGTCCGGTCCATCCTCCTTCGCACTCACAGGAAAAGCCAGATTGGCTGGTAGCATGGCATGTTCCATGCACACAAACTTTCTTATGACAAGGCTCGCAACCTGGCAGAATTCCCACTTGCAGTGGTACATTTCTGAAGTCCTGGAGCTCGCTGTTGATATATAGATTACGGATGCAACCATGGAAGCTGGTGCCGTTCTGTCCTGGAGACTGGCGTAAAGATGCTATGTTATTTTTCACAGGCATGCCTAGGAAATTAATAACGGAAAATGATCAATGTAATCTTTGGTACAATTTTCTGTACCACTTTGTCTATTTTTAAAACAATTTAAAAGAAATATTTCTTCCTAATTAATTATTCTTAGATATTCACCTACACCCACGAGCAATGATCTAGTAATTTGGAAATTGTCCTGGTTGTCAAGCATGCATGTAAACCAGCTCCAAACCCAAAAGTGTCTAGATCCAAGTAGAGATGTATATAAGACTTTATACAGGAAGCTCACAACTGTGAAAAGGTTCAGATACATGCCTGGTTTTAACCTAGTGCAATTAAGTCCAGGATAGTACATAGTCTCTGAATCTTGGGAAAACAAAAGTGGTTGACATTTAGTGGCTGATACATGGGTTTTTTTAAGCTTCTAAAATACTCGAATCCAGAAGAATTTAGCAGGACCAGCTCATCAATGTGAAGCTGGCATACACATTTAATATGTGAAATTTTGCTAGTGAAAATTCTTGGGCAGAAAAGCTCAACAGGATGAGGTTCCATTACTTTGAAAAATATTTTTCCTTTGCATGTCTCAAAACCAGTTTAACAAAAAAGCCACACATAGTTTGCCATTACAGTTCAAAGCAAAGACAGTCAATAGTAACAATAATTCAACATCAAAATAGTTATATGTAGGTATTCCCTGATATTGACCATTTTCAGCATAATTCTGCTGTTGTAGTATATAGTTGTTACAGGTGTAATTAGAGCAGTAGGTCTATGTGATTGTTATTCTGTTGTGATCAGTTAATCATTTAAGACTAAATCAGAAGGAACATTACTATTAAACATTGTTTCCTTGTAAAAATTAAGTTTCTTCTACTTCTACTCCACTTTTTTTTTTTTTTAAACTTATCGCCAACATATTGGCCCATATTAGTTAGTACTTAAGGTATTACATTTAAATAATGAATACATAAATGCCTAAATAACTCCTGAGACTAATAAGTAAAGGAAATCAAAGTGTACTGAGCGTTAGAAAAGGATTTGTTTACCTTAAACTAAATACACAGCTGTACAGGTTTACTCCTAGGCAAAATGAACAATTTTCATTCTGGTATTTAGTTAGATAGCAACCACAGAAAGAGGTTCTGCATAGTTGTTTCTTAACCATGTAAACTGATACTTCTAATGGTTTTATGCAGTTACTCTGAACAGTTAAAAGTAACGCAGAAGTGCTATGCAACCTAATGAAGTAAACCTGCCTTTCATTTAGAGGTTATTGTGATTCATTTGTGCTAAGCTTTAGTGATTATAGAAATGAACAATATTGCATTGATACTGTTGAAAAGCCCTGTCTTCCTTGATCTTATCAGTTAAGTAAAATAGTCTTGAGACTGTTATACTAAACAACTCAGACTGCAAACAAACATTAGTTTCTATTTCCTAAAATATATTTGCCATATTCTCAAAATTCAGGGACAAGACAGAGTCAGCAAGGCCTCTTCACCCTGATGTCTCCCTTGAAGGCAACACTCAGCAAATGTTCAGGCATATGGCTTGGGGTATCTAGTAACAGAATAGATGCACTGAATTTATCCATTATAAAAATAAAAGCTGCATAAAACAAAGTACACCAATGCAAAGCTAAACTAGATGTTATATTTCTAAGTGTCAGAAAATTGAGGTATGATTTCTGGGAACCAAATAAACATGTATGGCACCAAACAATATGAAGTATATCACATGTGATACAGAGAATTTTTTGTCTATAATCTCCAATATTGAAGACATGTGGAAACAAAATGCAAGAATATATACAAGCTTTTAGCTTATACACTTTTAACGTCTTCTAGCCAGTTACCAAGTGTTAGAAGGCCAAAGTGTGTGCAAAAGCTGCTCATATTCTTTAGCAATATTTCTTAGATAATTTCTAGATAAAAGTTCTTCATCAGTTAGGGAAGAACTGCCATAGAAATGATGCAGACAAATATTTCAGCTCTATGTTTGGTAAGGTAAGAGAATAGTTCCAAGCTTTGGTCACTGAACCTGTTTACAGGTAAATTATCAAATTACTGCTCAAGGAGGCAAATGGCAAGACCCCTATTAAATAGCAGTCATACAATAACACTGTCAAAACAAGTATCTCATTCTAGAAGCTGCTAGAACAGAGGAGGCACAAATGAAAAGCAGCTGATGCCCTACCCATCTCAAAAATAGGGGCTTCCATGAAACAAGGTGCCACTATCAACTAGTAAAATATGTTCTAATTTTGGAGAATGTGAAGTATCAGTGAAGTCTGTGACCCCTTTGAAGAATTTTTGAGAAGAAACAGATTGTCCCTTAAGATTTCTTATAAAAATCCATGGAATTCAGTATGATTTACTGAAATCTGTTGTAGAAAGACTGAAAAATATCTAGCGTGTGTATTCTGACCACACAAGAGTGCCATACAGTTGCAAAAAGATCAAAAAAAAAGGTAAGTGTATAAATTGATTAGTCCACTTTCTGTAAAAATAAAGTTAAATTACCGCATTCAAATCAACCTAAATATTGTGACCCAAGAATAACTTTGTAAAAAAAAAAAAAATTAGAAAGGGGAGGTGGGGTGAGAGAGAATAAGAGAAACACCATAGAAGGGCTTGCTGTCAAGTCTGAAATTCATCCTGCCAGCTGAGGTGATGCTTACCAGAAATGCCATCGTAGCAGGAAGGTGATAAGAGTAAGTGTAAGCTACATGATGATATAGGTGTCAAACTAAGACTTTGGCAAAGATAAAAATACTGCATAAAATTCTAGTGAGAATTTGAGTTCTTAACTGATGGAAATGTGTGATCATATTCTCTAAAAATTCTAGATACAGTTGGATAAGAAAGATGGGTAATATAAAGATTCAAGAGTGAAAGTTAACTCTCAAGAATTTTAAAGATCACAAATAGATAAACATAAAGAACAGAAAAGTTTAAGAGCTGAATATCAATCTACTGTTTTTTTGCTTTATTTTGTACTAATGTGCTTTCTTTTCTATGACAGCAGAAATAATTGTCTGCCTGATTCTGAATGTGAAGAATAGAAATAAAGCAACACAGGACCTCTCTAAAGAATACGCACTAGGATGAAAAAGGCTTCTGCTCTTAGGATTCAAACCACTGAAAGAAAAGATTATTTCCAAAACCTATTTCTTCTGATACTTCAAAATTATAATCTCCTAATGGAGACACAGATCTGCAAGGTGAAGAAGCAAGTAGAACCATATGTCACAAATCAACAAGTGTTAGCACTGCACAGAATATATGTTTCTAGTTGGCAGTCTAGCATAATGTAATCAAAAGGTGCCCATAACAGACAGAGAGAGGGATCATTCTGCACTAAGCTTATTTTTCAAGAAAGAGTAAAATTTGCCTTAGCAGTCATTAAGTAACAAACTGATGTTGACAATACAAGTAAGCAAGCACACAGTGTCTTCCTTGATTTTAGGACCATCTATCTTTTCAAAAAATGTGGCACAGGACACTATGTAAATAAGAGAAATGATATACATTAAAAAATGCAGATGTACTTCCACAAGGCAATCCTCCTTTGAAGATTCATGATATGGAGTAATTTTAAAGGAAGCTCATACATTTGATAATATTAAATATTTTCTCTCCTAATATGGGGAGTGATGACTAATGTTGAATTTTATCCTGTACTTCCTATCTTAGATGGAAGGAAGAAGTGACAAAATCTGAAAAGATCTGACAAAAAAGCCAAAGTGTTTCAGTGTAAGAATAGGGATTTTCAGCAATAAAAGTCAATTTATCCCCCATCATCTGTAACTGAGGCACTTGTTATACTAGTTGTATAGAAGAAATAGACTATTCTTCATGGGTATCAAAGCAGCTTCCTGTTTTTCTCTTCTATTGAAGATAAATCTAAGCAACTACCCTGAGATTTTCTGTATATTTAGAAAGAGGATAAATAGCACCTTGTGGTTTGTAGAGAAAATAGGCATGTCACAAATGTACTACTGGTAGCATAATTTTTTTCAAGAAGGCAAGATGCTCAAATATAAAAACTTATTCTCAGGCACAGAACAGTTCTTAAGAATTTGACAAAATGAAAAAGAATGTAGATATTCTTTTTACAGAAAGAACAGATCAGAAAGAGACTCCTTACTTGTCTTCTATAAGAGTGTATGGTTAAACTAAATAGAAGATGAAGACTGGTAAAAGATCAGCAGTATTTTAAAACCATGCTGAATCTCTGGTCACTAAGAACTTGCCACCAAGGACAGTGAGAAGGCACAAAGCTGTGGCTGAAGTTTCTGACTCTTTTACCTAGATTATGCAGGTCCACCAGAAATTCAACAAAAACTGCTGGTTAAAACAAGGCTTGAATCCAGTTCTAAAAAGCAAACTACAGCAAATGATCAAAAATGTTTCCAGTAGATTATCTCCGCAATCACCTACTAGCAGTTTTACTGAAACAAACAATTATTTCTTCTCAAAACAAAACAAAACCAACAACAAACCCTGTCACATACTGTAAGGCAACTGTCCAGTTGGTTCCCTTCTTCCCTAATGTCATAACTCCTATCAGCCCTAATCAATAAGATCTCTAGACATAAATTATACTTCATGGCATTATACCTTGCTATCATTTCGTGCAGATACCTCTACAGTGAAATGTAAATCATGTCCAAAATAGAATGCTACCATTCTACACTTGCTGAATAGGCATTACTGAATCTTCAGGTAGCTAAACAATGTAAAACACACTTCTTCAGTATAATAAAAAGCTACATAACAGTTGAAAAATCACAGTTTTACAGTGGGCATCAAATATCCACACTCATGAAAAAGCAACAGGTACAGTTTCAGAACATACTATTTATTAAAACTGAAACTATTGAGATTAACCGAAGTATCATCTTAAGGTGTTATCTCAATGAATGAGTCTCTTACCATGTGTTTATTAATGCATGTTACCACAGTAAATTAACTATCATACCGTTAGTAAGAAGAAGGAAGATCCTCTTACCTCCTACATAGAGTGGAGAATCAAAATTCAGAGTGGATTGCTTAGACAAATTGGTAATTATCTTGGGGCTTCCTCCATCAATAGATAACGAAAGAATCTGATCCACAGCTAGCAGCTCCACAATGTGGAAATTGCCATCATTAATAGTTTCCACACTGCAAAATAAACATTAATATTAATTTATAACCATTGATGGCCTGTTTAGAATGGGTTTTCTTCTTCCTCTTTAAGACTTAATAGAGCTTCAGAATATAACTTCTACAGGAGCGCCGTCTCCTGAAAACTAGATTTTAAGCAAGGACATGCATGTATGCTTAAGAGCTAATGCAATATAATACCCCTTCAATAACACTCTATTAATAATATGTATTATAATTTAATAACCCTTTTTCATTCAAAGTTATTCCTGTCCTCATCAAATAATGAACTGTGTAAATACAGATAATCTAAACTTCAGTTGAAATACATTTACTAGGCAGGAAGCTGAACAACAAAAAAAAATTTTGGGATTCTTCTGCAACAATGACCAGATGGCTGGAACATGTCTTCTGTGAAGAAAGGCTGAGAAATTTTGGGTTGTTCAGCCCGGAGAAGAGAAAGTTTAGGGGAGGCCTTTTTGTAGCCTTTCAATATTTAAAGGGGGCTTATAAGAAAGATAGAGAGAGATGTTTTACCAGAGCCTGTAGTGATCTAACTATTTTAATAATGTGTAGATTTAGATTAGATAGAATCTATAAAGTAAAAGATGACGTTTAAAAAAAAAAAAAAAATTCTTTAAAATGAGTGTGGTGAAACACCGGGACAGGTCTCCCAGAGAGGCTGTGGCTGCCCCCACCCTGGCAGTGTTCAAGGCCAGGTTGGACGGGGCTTCGGGCAACCTGGGCTAGTGGTCCCTGCTCACGGGAAAGGGGATGGAACTAGGAGATTACTGGATGTCCTTTCCAACCTAAACCATTCTATGATTCTAATCTCATGTTATTTCAAGTTCTTATTTGTGCACATGTGTGTGTCAGTGTCCTACACGTTGCATAGTATTGCGTTTACATATTTTGCATGTATGAAGGCCTGAGTCAACTCCAGTGATACATAAACCTACTATTTCATGGAATTTGGAACTGCATCTAACCTTAGCCCTAATATACAAAATCACATCACTGGTCCAGATAACTCCACTGATGTTAGCAATAAAGTAATTTGTTATTTTTATCAGGCATGGTTGTTTCTGTGTGTTCAGCTTCTGGCTAGAACGGTGAATAACTGTATTCATTTTTTTTCTTGCCTACATATTTCCTTCTGCTTACTAACAAGGTATGAATCCACTAGCAGGAGACTGGCTGAAGGGTGTCATGCAGAGAAGGCTTGTTTCAAGCACTGCACTTAGCTGTGTAAGGACAAGACTACACAAGTTACTAAGAACAAAAATGGCTGCCTAAACTTACCAGCCTCAATATCTACACAGCAAATGTTTAAATACAGGGTAACTACTCTGCAGCTGAACACAGTTTAAGTACATCAGAGAAGGAAGAATATTATTACTCAATTCTGGGACTGAATATGATTGTACTTTACTTCTAGTCCATTTTCCACTGGAGAATTAAGAGTTGAATGTATGGCTGCATGGAAGTTATGACAACGAGCTGTAGTCCAGAGACCAGACATTATAACCATTCCCATGAGAGCCTTTATTTGCTTCAGGGCACCATTAAATAAGTGAGCTTAAGCCTTTGAAAAAAGTTATTTAAATGAACCAATTGTATGAGAGCCTGAGACGGACTGAACAGTCATCCAGTCGGTTAGCTCTTCTCATTAGGAAAGCAGTATAGCTGAAAGGGATTAGCTTCCTAAATCTCAAGGCAAAAATCAAGCAAATTACCTTATAACATCCTAAGCGATATTTTAATTAACCTAACTGCTTTTGTCCTGGAACAGATCAGAAGTGCTCACTTGGTTGTTTACAGCTGTGAGACATTAAATAGCTTCTTAGCTATTTATTACCACCTCTTAACTACGTGGACAGACTCAGCTCAATATGGATAAAAGATCTGCATGGTAGCATGCATGCTTTACATAAACTTAGCTCTATGTGAAAGTGCAAACACACAACAGGGCATACACTGGCAGAATAAACACTTTCTAGGAGTGGGCAGGGGAGGGACTGCCAGGTTCCATGGAGGAAAGGAAAAGGTCAGGGTTCATCATTCATACAGACTAAGGTCTATTCAAGGTATTAAGAGGTTTTTTTGCTGTGATCAAAGCAATAAGAAAAGTGCCAGGATTAATTTATTTACACATTTCAATGAATCCAGGAGAAAAGTTGTGCTAAGAAATCAAAATGCATATGATTTCTTAACTTAAGTAAGCAAGAACCCTAAAGTAATGTTCCCATGCCAAGGAAAAGTTATTTTACAACTTATCACAATACTGTTTAAAAGGATGAGAGCAACATAGAACATGCATTTTTATAGCAAGAGGTCATTCCAGGGATGTATAAAACATAATCTGTAAAGGGAATGTGTCTCTGTTAAGAATGATTATTGAAAGTTTCTAGTTTAAAGTGTTTTACTGGTAAAAAATTATTGCAGAAAGAGGAGCCCTCCTAGGTAAGGGTGGTTTAAATTAAAGGGGAAATAAACACAAGGCGTATCTGTGCACTATTTCCTGCCAATGCACTTGCATTACTTCTAGCCCATTTCCCTGTGGAGAAATGAGAGCTGAATGCATAGATCCTAATGAAAAGCTGTAAAAAAACCCTGATTTAAAGCTTCTGGAACTCTGTAAAAGACTAATGATTTGGGAAGAAATATTCCCATATTTTCAATAAATATATGATGAAAACTATTTTACAGAATGTAGTTTTCTGATTTTTTTTCCCTTTTTTTAGTGTAAAGAATATTTAACATTTAAAAATGAACTTCCAGGCAGAACAAACCCCAAATGGATTAACTTTTCCTGAATAACCATCTCCAACAAATTATTTTTCTTTACTGGTCTTGGCACTGCCATCATCTCATCTTGTTACTCAGATTGACTGATCAGTGCTTTTGGTATGATGGCTCGTTCTGCAGTCAGTTCTCGTTGGTAAAGAAGTTCTCATTCACTCTACACAGCTAGACTGCTGTTATTGTTGATTCTCTGTATTTATAATGATTAAATAATCTGCTTGTAACTTTGTTTTGTTGCTACTACAAGCACCTCTGTAGACTTTACAGCTCCCATTTGACTCCTTTTCCACACAACATTTCTTGACTGCCATTTATATTATAAAGTTTCTATTTGAATCTTTGTATTGGAGGTTTATTTTGGTCTCCATTTCAGGCATCTCATCACTGTTCAGTGGTGTATGACTTGTCTTATTTTTTATCCTGTACTATCCATAAATCTTCACTTCCTTAATGAAATATGTAAATCTCTTGATAAACTTCTCAGTTTTTTAATTCCTTTCTGCCCTTCTCACTGTAAGCAACTTCCCATCTTAATTTACAAATTAGTGAATAGATTATGCTTCCTTCCTTCCTTCCTTCCTTCCTTCCTTCCTTCCTTCCTTCCTTCCTTCCTTCCT